AGCCAACTACTTTAATAAAAAGTTGATCGTGTTAAATGTCATTCATGCCGAATTGAATTGAATAGTTGAATATTGAATATTTTGAACATGTGAACATTCCAATACTGTAAATACTGTACTTTTTTTGATAGGCAGCAGGACAAAGTTGCCTCTCTGCAATGTGTGTTTACAGGACAGAATGCAATCAGATCCACAGCATGTCTGGATATGTTATGGGTGCTTTTAGTGCAAAACAAAGCTAGCTTTCACTCTTAAAGTTAGTGCAACCTCGTCCGGTCACTGAGGTTATCTTACCTGGTGGAGGGGGGGACACAGACACGCGCCCCGGGAGCGGCTCGGCGCGAGGGGTCGCCGCGGGGACACACCACTGTCGCATGGCTGTCAGCTGGACCTCTACAGAGACAGGAGACTTGCTGCAGTGTGTTGCGGTTAAACGGCCCCTATTAGCATGCTGGCAAACCCACAAGAGCAGATGACTCGCTGGCAGAAAGCTAAATTGGCTAAGCTAACGCCGTCAACTCTGGCTGGTTCCCCTGAGCTCCAGCCTCCCATCGATAGCTGCTCGCTGCCTTGAGTAAAGTTAGCAAGTGTGAGTGAAGTAAAGAGCGGAGGTAGTGCAATTAAACCTTCAGAATAAAATCATTTGTGGGTTCCTTACACAATTCCGTTTTTAAAAGTGTTATGGTTGGTCTCTGATAATAATGACATCAGCTCTGACTACAAAAACCTTACATAAAATCATGCATAAGCAATACATTAGTGTTTAAAACTGCACTGCATCTTTGAATTCACACATATTTTTGATTTTATAATAGTTTTTATGATACGAGTTTTAATAGACATTATTTTTACTGTACCTTTTACCAAAGTAAATTCTGTAAATGTGAAAACCTACCTTGCACAAAAACAAAATTATGATTCTGATTTAGTAGAGTTTGGCTGGGAAATAAACCTTTCTACACTTCACCCTTATGGCATATTGTTACATGTACCTGACTTAACATTGACTAAATCCATATGACCTTTGTACCTCTTTAAATAAGTAAATGTGTATATTTAAACATTTTTGATTTAAGCTACTATCACTGTTTTTTTACATTTTATTTCATACCCTAATGCAGTGTTTAGCAAATGCTATTTTTAAGTTTGGAGACAGTTCTTTTAGCAAAATGTAAATGTAAAACAACGGTGTGTTTGTGCTGCTCTTTCTCTAGCTGTCTTAAAAGTCGCTGTAGAGACTGTGGTTTTATTTTGAAGGACCGATAAACCATTACTAATGAGTCTACCCAACTTGACACTTCATTCTTGTTTTGGCTAACAACTTATCTCAAACTTGCACTTTTCTAGTAACATCTGCCATTATTCAAAATATGGCAAACCTGCACAGATAAACATGGCACCAAGCAAAACATTTTGTGTGTAAAGTCTAGACAGGGCTGGGACATAGCATGTTGCTAACGACTTAGCTCGGTAGTTAGCAACGTTAGCTATTAGCTAGCATCGGATTGTCCCACCGCGGAGCTCCCTTACCTCCCGTTGCTGTGGAGAGCAGCAGCCGGCTGGACGGAGAGGGAAGATGGGGGAAACTGTGGAGAAAGTGTTGGTCCACCCAAGCCCAATATAGAAATTAACTCCTTGGCTTGGTCCTGTGGTGATTTAACAAACAGAGGGTGGACGATGCAGGGACATATTGTCTTTGCAGTGGGGAAATTGTGTATGCAAATGTGGGGAGTCTGTCTCAATTTATGACCCCTCACCCGATACCACTGTCAAGCTAGCAGAGATATAAATATGATTTCCGGTCATACTGTACTGGAAACAGCATAGCTAAATGTAACACAATGTGCCAAAATGAAAGCACATTTCAGTAACATTGTTTGTACAAAAAACAATGCTCACACCACATATCCAGAGGTGGAAGAAGTATTTAGATGCTTTAATTCAGTAAAAGTGCCAATACATTATTGTCAAACAATTAATCACAAGTAGAAGTCCCGCATTCAAAATCTTCTTTAAGTGAAAGTACAACACTTTTATCAGCAAAATGTACTTAAGGTATACAAAGTAAAGATAATTATTGTGTAGTTCTGATTGACTTTTTGTCAAATATATACATAATGGGGCTCTTTTGTGACTGAAATTAATCCAATAGTTTAATTTTTAGAGATGCCTTTTGTTAAAAGTAGCTAAAGCTGTTAAATAAATGTAGTGGAGTCAAATTGAATTATTTCCCTTTGAAATGTAGAGGAGAAGAAGTATGAAGTAGCATAACATGGAAACACTCAAGTAAAGTATAATTATCTTGTACTAATAGGCTACTGGCTGATTCGGGTGTAGCCTGGCTATTCTCTTTCAAAATGATTAATTCATTTTGTTTACGATGGGCCAGGCCAGAAAACACTACAACCCTGGAATTTAATATTCATTGCACCATCTGAAAACAATATAGTTCAAACATTTATAGAGGTAGATGTTTGTGACTGTTGTGTAAGGATTACTTTGATTTAAATGATCTGAAACGAAAAAAAATCCTGAAGATGATAGGTGTTTCTAGGTTCAGGTTGTTCTACTATGGACAGATGACAGAGTTGGGCTAAGCCACTTCCCATCATATGTATTGTATCTTTTCATCTAACTTTAAACAAGAAATCAAAGATCTATCTCTTTAAATGTCTTAAATTGAACTTGCAGAAACTTCTCATGCCCTGAACAGCATTGCTATCTCCCTGCCTCTCTCTCCTGCCTAATAATAAAGGTGTTTGCTCTCACCAGTTCCACTAGTGACTGCAGCGGAGGAATGAGTCTGTGTTTGCTTTGTTCAATATTCCTCCCTCCCCTTAGACCTGTGCCAAAAAGGCAGAAGTAATAAGTGCTTTATTAGACTGCCTTTGTGCCTGACGTGCTCAGTTCAGTTTGTGTCCAAGCCATCTGTATTTGAGCATTCGGCAGTGTGTCTGCAACATTTCTGGGGGGTTGCCCATCATCAATGTGGTCCAACTTGAGAGCTGAAACAACACCATGAACTGGGCCTTCCTTGAGGGCCTCCTGAGCGGGGTCAACAAATACTCCACTGCGTTTGGTCGCATCTGGCTCGCCATCGTTTTCATCTTCAGGCTCATGGTCTTTCTGGTGGCGTGTGAGAAGGTCTGGGGTGACGAGCAGAAGGACTTTGATTGCAACACCCGGCAGCCCGGTTGTCACAATGTCTGCTACGACCACTTCTACCCCATCGGCTACACCCGGCTCTGGGCTCTCCAGCTGATCTTTGTCACCTGTCCATCCCTTCTAGTTACGCTCCATGTGTCCTACCGGGAAGAACGAGAACGCAAACACCGCCTGAAGCACGGAGAAGGATGTGCCCCTCTGTACGATTTCACGGGAAAGAAGCGAGGGGGTTTGTGGTGGACCTACTTTCTCAGCCTGATGTTTAAGATTTCAGTCGATAGTGTGTTTGTCTTCCTGATCTACTACATCTACGAGGCTACGTTTTTCCCACCGTTGGTGAAATGCAGCATCGACCCATGCCCCAATATGGTGGACTGTTACATCGCAAGGTAATGTGTTCCTCGGTGGTCCTAAATAGTTAAAGATCATTTAATTCCCATGGTTTGACTTGATTTACTAATCTTACATTTTCTGTCTCTTTTCCAACCTTGTGTTCCTCAGGCCCACAGAGAAGAAGATATTCACCGTCTTTATGGTGGTGACCAGCTTTGTCTGCATCTTCCTCACTTTTTGCGAGGTCTTATACCTGTGTGGGAAGAGGTTCAGGGAGTGCTGTCGAGGAGGACCCAGTTCCCGGAGAGAAAACTCCTTCAGGATGGTGAGGACTCCTCTGACAGTGAAGGAGAACTCCGTTTTCAAAGAGCCGATAACGGAGAAGGCCAAGTTGGTAAATAATGACATCAGAGAAGCTAGCAACGAGGGTTCAGCCCCAGCGTATACAGCGTAGTGGTCACATAAAAGACATGCGTTTTATGACTTTGACTTGGGAGAAAAATAACTATCTGATGTAGCTTTTATACTGTTAGCCTTGTTTATCTGCAGAATATGTGTGGCTTTAAATGATATGTTGTCTTTATTTCCTTTTTTATATCAAAATAATGTTTGTTGGTGCTTTTAAAAGGCTTTTCAACCTAAATAACGAATATGCAATAAAGGTGATTTATTGTACTTTGTCTATTGATATGGTGATGTGTTATAAAAGATTATTTTGTTATCTGTATGACCACAAAATAAAATCTCTCCACTTATTATGAGCTGCTGTGTCGGTACTTTGACAAAAACTGGAAAAAATGTGTTCATGGTCATTATGTCATGAAACTTGAACAAGAAATAAAGATAACATTTTCGAAAATAAACAACTGTCAAATTTGCTTTTTTACCTATTCTCCTTTAATCCCTATAAAAAAATTGGAAATGTTAGTTATGAACACATTGTATGAACCTACACGGTGCAAGGCAAATAACAATTGGTGCAGAATTAAGGTAGATAACTAGATGATGACTAAACGATCTACAACTGGTTACTGATGGGAGTAACAGTATTGACAAAAGTTGATAAAATCTCCATTCCTACAAGTCACAGATTGATGACAAATACACACATCCTGCATTTCTTCAGAACAGCAGATTGAGAGTTGGTTTGTAAAGGGCAGTAGGCCTATCGTAAAACGTTGCTATTAATGCAGTGACCGCTGCACATTCTTACCTGAGAAAATGAATCAGCAAACGCTTGTTTAATCTGATTCGAAGATAGCAGCACTCCATATCTCAGGTGTGTTTCAGTGGAAAAGGTTTAAGAGTGCCTGTACAAACAGATTTGAGGTGGTTGCCCTGTTCTATTCTGATTAATCAACAGGAACAAATGGGCATATCTCCAGATACCGGATGGCTAATGGAGCTGATACCATGTCAACTGTGGAGTAATGTGTTGCTAGACTAACACACCTCAATGTGGTTTTGTGTACTTGTTACTAATTATCACCTTTATTAATTTGCCCCCACTGCATCACCTTACTTTGGTCAGTCAAGCTACTGATGTGTCTTTGGATGTTTTTCGGGACAGTTTTCTGTAATCACCTATATCATTAAGGCACTCCATCACACAACTGCCAACATAAAAGTAAGTTATTGGAGCAATTGGGGGTCAATATAATGTGATGCTGACAGGAAGTAGTTAGACTTTTAAATTTAAATTTGGGATGGATGCCAAAGGTGGCCACGCCTTCAGATTATGGCCAAGATTTGATTGTTGAGGTAGGTCAATGTCAGAGACCCACAGTAGGAGAGAGGTTGCCTGCTGAACACATTCCCAAAGTCTACTTCGACAATATGGACTGAGTGGAAGACTTGCTTTCTTACGGTAAGCTAAGAGTTTTTTGTCAAACGGATTTGCATTTTTTGGCTTGGTTATATTTAGTTTGAAGACTCCTTGCAAAGCTGAGAACATTGAATATAAAGTCAGAACTGGACTACTGTGTTCAGAGTAAGGGTGAATAACATTTAAGAAACTATTTAAGTATTTAACACGTTTGTAATCAATTAATAAAGGTCATTTCTACAAAGTGTCAAAGTTACAATCAAACTTAAATGCTGTGAGATTAAAGGGAGGGAATGTAGGTTTCATAGCTGTTAACGAAATGGTTTGATAGGAAAAGAGAACGACTTTCGAAATTATCCATTGAGATATTTGGGACAGAATATTAAACTACAGAGAGGATGTTTTATATATGTGTTTGTATTTTTAAACCTTGTATTTTATTGTATATTTGCCTAACTCTGTCTTTGTCTCTCTTTTTGTAGTTGTAGCTCTTCAGATTTCCAAATATACCTCCTCTAAGGGTTACTGACAGACTTCTCATCCAATCAAAGCTGAACTCATGGATTGGAAATTTCTCGAGGGTCTTCTTAGTGGAGTCAACAAGTACTCCACTGCCTTCGGGCGGATCTGGCTGTCAGTGGTCTTCGTCTTCCGGGTGATGGTCTACGTTGTAGCTGCTGAGCGGGTCTGGAGCGACGACCAGGCACATTTTGACTGCAACACCCTCCAGCCTGGGTGCAAGAACCTCTGCTACGATTACTTCTTCCCCATCTCCCACATTCGCCTCTGGGCTCTGCAGCTGATCTTCGTCACCTGCCCTTCCTTCATGGTCGTGCTTCACGTGTCCTACCGGGAAGAGAGGGAACGTAAATACCAAGCAAAGCACGGTGCAGATCGTCACCTGTACGACAACCCGGGGCAAAAGCATGGTGGTCTGTGGTATACATACCTGATTAGCCTCTTGCTAAAAACCGCCTTTGAGATCACTTTTCTCTACTTGCTCCACTCCATCTACGACAGTTTCAAGCTCCCCAGAAAAGTCCAATGTGATGTCAGTCCCTGTCCTAATTTGGTGGACTGCTACATATCCCGGCCCACTGAGAAGACCGTTTTCACCTACTTCATGGTGGGGGCGTCTGTCTTGTGCGTGGTCCTCAACGTTTGTGAAATCTTCTATCTGATCACTATCCGGTTGGTGACCCTGAAGAAAAGGGGCTTGGTCCATACCTCGTCTATTATGAAGGTCCGACGTAACCTGGACTGAAATGGCTGCAAGTCATCTTTTATATTGTAGCTGGAAACACAGTAAAGGGAATCACCATTTGTATTAAACTAATGATCCTTTTTCCTCATTGTGGGTATTAATAATTGTATGTATACTTTTATATGTATTATAAATATATTGCATTTTGACATACTGTACAATCCAAAGCTCTAACGTTTTTAGCTGAGTGTAATAAATATTGAAGCCTAAAAAGAGTGTTTTTGGCATACATCATTTCAATGAAAGGAAATACTTGAGGATTGCCTAATATGTATGACCTCTGTGTCATAACCAAAACGGACAATGTTTGTTTTACGTATTCTCAAAAATAAGAATGTCAAAGAACTGAAAATAAAGGTTTTGCAACAAAATAAAACCACAGCAAATTCATTCATGGGTAATATTTACTTCTCCTACTCTAATGATGCCATTTCTCCACCTGGTGGCACCAAAGGCATACTACACTATCTATTAGAATCAAAACAACATTGCAATGACCCTCCCAAAATGCATGCATATTGTGTCCTGCTCAGGCAATAACATGTTCCTTAACTTGATTGATTGATTGATTTCTGATACTTACCTAGTTATCGATGTTAAAAAATAAAATGTGTCTGGGATGTTTTTCCCAGGCATCGATCCAGGTGTTACCACCGGACCTAATACAATGGGTTAATGTTAGGCCTATACATTTAGCAAAAATAACTTTGTAATGTTAAAAATAACATTATGAATACATTGAGTTGACTGGAGTGTAGCATTCTCGGTTAATATATAAAGCATGTCAATAGTTTTTCTACTCAAACACAGCGAAAATGTGTCGACATTTAATAGAGTGACAAGGGGTAATCAGGCTCAGCAGCTTTGTTTTCAAAATAAAAGCATACACATGTTTTTTAAGAAGGACTTTTCGAGAACTATGCAAGTGGTATTTGGTTGATGAGAACGTGTTTTAAATATGTACTGAAGATGAATAGTCAAGTCTTGAATTCAATTATTTTTTAAAACAATTATTGCCATTTTCCAAACTACTGTAATATCTTGAGGACATTTAGCTACCGGGCCTATTACATACAACGTTTCAAAATGCCTCTCTGATTGATTGACAAGTACAGAATCCATGATGGGTTTATCAAGATTACACGTTTAGTGATACATTTAGATAACTCTTATCTTATTTTGAAAAGCCTCAGAAGTGTCACTGTCTGTCCTGCGGGTTCAGAGAGGAGCTGATGTTTGGAGAGGACATGCTGATAAGATCCACCCACGATCCTCCACCGACACTTTAACTGAATGGTGACCCAACAGAGATGGCTGGTACAGGTGAATATTAATAAACACACTATGGTTTTGAAGCCGATTTACATGTATGTCAATTACAGTCATGTGATTTTTTTAAACTTTGGGAATGTTTGTTTGGGTGTGGTGGAGTGGTTCCAATCTGGAGAGGATGAGTATCTCGTGACGAAAGCTTAAAAGGCATTATTAATCCTAGATTTATGTATATTTGGACTCATGAAAAGCTGACATTTCTTTCTAGCCGTTTGCAAACATAACATAAAGAGGCCTGTATCAAAGTCCTGGTACCATATGTTATGTTATTTTTAAATTAAATGTTATTTTGGACACTTTTAAATGCTGAGTAGGTTAGGTCTTTTTTCAACCCATATGCTCTGGTCCACATGGTGACAGTATCTGACACCTTAAAGTGTAAATGTGCTAACTGTCTCCTCTCCTCTGCATGGGTTTGTCTCAGTAAAAGTGTGAATGTCACTATGTGAGTAATGATTGATCAAATATTTAGTTGTGAAACTGTCTTGTCAAATGTGAAGGTGGGAGTAGCTAACTGGTTAAAATTGAGATATCTCACATGTTGCAAACACACAAATAAACAAGTCAACTAACCTTATTTATGTTAAGCCAAGACACACCTTTGTCTTTAGATTGTTACCTGTTGGATGTCAGTTGCTATGCTGGGTATCTGTGTATTATGAAATCTAGGTTTTAAGATTCATTTTAATTGTTAATTTTGGGGAAAACAGTGTGACCCGAGTTGCTTTTCCTGTTAAATGCTGCATAACTTTACATCTCTTGATCTGTTTAATTCATAGATAGCATGCTGCAGACGTTGGTTTATATCCATCATCTTCCCTCCAGCGTTTGACTTTATTACATTAATATATTTAGTTTCAGTTCATTTTGTTCTCTACTGTCTTCTTTGGGACAGTTTCAGTATGTGCTCAGCAGCTAATCATTAATACAAGTGGCATCTCTGCTGTGGATTTGACCTGGCTCCTGTCTCTCAGATCAATACAATGGATGACGTAACATCACGTGAAATGAACTCTCTGGATTTCTAAATATTGCTGCATTAACTCCTCTTCCTCAGGAATGTGTTGTGCCAGCCTGGAGGAGCCTCAGCCCCTGATGAAGATGGGTCTGAGCATGGTCCTCATCGGTCACATTAACTTCCTGTTGGGAGCGCTGGTGCACGGCGTGGTTCTCCGACACATCAACTTCCACAAGCAGGCGCGCGCCATGGAGTACGCCATCTCCAACGTGGTGGCCCTCACCTCCGGCCTCGTGGTGAGCGCAGGAGATTCATACTGATCCTTCAAATAGTTTTAAGTTGCAAGGCTTTTATTTTCATGTGTGCATAGCTACAGTGTAGTTAATGAAAATCTTAGGTCACAGGATCCTCCAACAGTGCAACACAATAACACAGATAATAGTGCAAGTAAATCAAATCAAATAGAATAGAAATAGTTCACAATATATTCTACAAGTAATTGGAATATTGATATAAGTTGCAAACAGATTAATGTTATGTCTGTTCTTTCAAAAGTGCAGGTGTTTAGCAGTCTTATGGCCTGTGGGATGAAACTGAAATAGAAAGAAGGGCGGTTATCTTCTGCAATATTATGAAGGATCAACCCAGTCTCACGGCATTTCATGTTATAGTCACAAAATGTATCTATTAATTGGTATTCACCAACACGATTTCCCCTTTTTTTTCGTGTCACACAGAACGATTTGAAAAGCAATGTATTTCTATTTATATGTAGAGGCTAACCCAACGCTTTAAGCCTCTGAGGATCCGCTTTGTGGGTGTAATTGACCCACACAAGTTTGCTGCCGAATAAACGTCAGAAACAAAGTTTCCAGTTCGAAACAGTCCATTTATTTCCATTTTTACTGGTTTCCATTTTACTTGCTTCTTTCCACATTCACCACACGATATTACCGTTTACACAATACCTTGTGCTTGTTTGTAATCCTGTGTTTGTGTGTGTGTGCTCCGTGTGTTCTCCGTGTGTGGTCAAAAACTGTATGGACTTCCGGCGGAACCTCTCACCAACAAACATAGGTTCCTACCTTTATACCCACAGATGTTAATTGGCTCCTACAGGTAGTATGTTTCGTGCCTGCACCAAATAATAACAAATTAGAAGGAAAAAAAGATTTAAAAAATACAGATTTCAGTATTCTGAGGCTCTGAGCCATTTATTTTCCTCGCGGACGACAAGACAAGTCCGACATTATACGATTTTAAAATAAAAACAATAATCGTGGCTTGATATAAAGTAAGAAAATGTTTTTATGAACCACACATCCTCCGGTCTACCAAGGCCCGACCGGACAGAAAGACGTGGTGCAGGCACGAAACATACTACCAATAGAAATACATTGCTTTTAAAATCGTTCTGTGTGACACGAAAGAAAAAGGGGAAAATCGTGATGGTGAACACGAATCAATAGATTAAATTAATTTCGTGACTATAACACGAAATGCCGTGAGACTGTGTTGGAAGGATAACGGAAATACAAAACTTATTCTACATTTTACGTTCATTTAGGACATCAAAGGAAAGCATTTTCATTATCAGATGTGTAATGTCAAGTTTTAGTATTTTGAGCAGGGATATGGTTGAGCCTTGCAGACCACAAGCTACAAATGCATCTCAAATGTTCATAGAATTGATCACTAAGTACTGTAGAAATGTTCTTAATACCAAAATCAATATAGCAGGCTTTTGCTCCACTGGCTGCTTGTAAAACCAGATTCCTATACAATACTATAAATACGTTTTTAAAATAGCAAATATTTCCTTATGAATCCCTTCAGTATGACTTTAATGTTGGACCATCCTTAAGAAATAGTGGTCTCAAACCAATTCTTCCAGAACGAAAAACATATTATTAATGTTATGTCACTTTTAAAAAAGGAAGAAAATGAGATATGTTAGAGTCGGAGAGTATCTAGTAATCAGCCAATATGGAAGACATGAGTTAAAGGGTGTTTTTCTTTCTTCAAGCTTTCAAAAACAAATTTCAAAGGACCTCAAAGACTTTTCTGAAATACTTGTAGTGACGACACAGCTCAGATACTTCATTCTTTTGACCTTCCTTTGGTTGCTAACTTGTGTGTCTCAGACTGGATGAGAATACAATCATATTTGTTGTAAATGGTTGCAAGCAGAGTGATATGATTATTCTTTAAAACGTATCTGTCTTGTCTCTGCAGGGAATCATCGTTGGCATTCTGGCTATTCTCCTGTCTAAAAACAAGAAGAGCAAAGGCCTGGTTAGTATTGTGTTTTCCTATAAACCGTGTTATCGTTGGTCTCCCTGCACTTCATGCAACCTTGCTTTCTCTTTGATATTTTCACGCTTTATTCCCAACTTGTGTGTCTGTCTTCTGAGCTCTTGCATGCAGCCACCAGGTGTGTGAGGAGCTGGAACAGTTCAGTGTTTTTCTCTCGTGTCTCTTTCCCGTGGTGCAGCGTGGTTTCCTCTGTTTACTCAAGTCAGCTGTCAGACGGGACTGACGAGCAGCGAATGAGTAGGCACGGACAAACCTACCTCTGCTAACCACTCCCCGCTCCCATTGTTGGAAGATCAACTGTAAACAGGGCCAACCTAGCAACCTGTTATCTTAACCCATCAAGGCATTACATATGCATGAATAACAAGTAATCTCAACACTCCCTTTATTGATGTCCACACCTGTATCACATGTCCTGGCTAATACACGTTGTAATCTGTCTCCTGTATTATTTCTAATCCAGTTTCGACCACTCACAAAGTGATTTTTAAATGTCTGTAGCTATGTCTCACCCTCTGTAAACCTATTAAGTGAAAGGTTGGCTGCTTTTCTTCCCACATTTGTAATTGCTCATAGCTGATAGCTTTAATTTCAAATGCTGCAACAACTTACTTGGAGTTTTGATACGGCAACACGTCCCTTCAAAAGACTAAAACTAACAATGTGTCATCCAACCTTTTCAGGTTCATATTTCTGTTCTGTGTCTCTACTGGGGAATTTCTCTTTTCACCCTCTGTCTGAAACCAGAGCCCAGTCTGCTCTGATTGGTTAGCTGGCTGGCTCTGTTGGGATCGGTCAATCAGCATGAGAATACCTTTTATTCATCACAAAGAGGGGGAATTTGTATTTGTTACAGCAAGAAAAGAGCCAAAGACAGCTTAATATTAGTTCAAGGTTCTTCATTTGTCAAACGAACATAGCTTCAGTGTAGTTATGTCGATGAAAATCTTGTGTCACAGGCTTAACCAAGAAACCGTTCAAAGGTGTCCCGCTTCTTAGCCTTTCACGTACAAAAATGCTAGCAAATCGGAGCACAAGTGTTACATAGTGATGTCACTTTAGGTTTTAAGACTTTGCAGACCATTTACATGCACAGAAACATTTATAACACACAACAGGAAAGAGAAAACTCAAAAAATAGGACCTCTTTAAAGGATGAGGCTGTTTTTCATGGTCAAAGATTCCCATGGTAAGCTCACAGTATGCTGACATGAACACCGCAAGCATGAGCACATCACCCCAATTCTGGCTTCCCTCCATTGGCTTCCTGTCCATTTTAGAGTTCATTTTAAGATTTGATTGTATGTTTTTAAATCGCTTAATGGGCTTCAGCAGGGCCGTCCCTGGCCAACATGAGGCCCCGCGCAATATTATATGATGAGGCCCTCTGTTTCATGAGCGTCGACCGCGCGGGGGGGGAGACCGAGGGCCGCGCCCAACACTAATATGCGCTGTATTTTCGGTTCTCAGTTGAGACCAACCCTCCGCAAGGTGATAGGGTCCCCTGCCGCAAGAATGAGGCCCCCTCCGCAAGGTTGGAATCGGCCCCCCTACGCAAGATGAGAGTCTCCCTCTGTTGACCGCAAGATGAGGCCCTACGCAAGGTGAGGCCCCACGCAGTCTGCATGATCAGGCCTGTAGGGAGGGACGGTCCTGCCCCCTCAGTACATTCTCTGACCTCCTACAGGTGTACACCCCTCAAGGGCTTTGAGGTCAGCTGTCAGACTGCTCTAGTAGTCCCTAAAACAAGAAAATACCAGGGAGGAGAACCGAGCCTTCTCAGCGGTAGCCCCCAGGCTCTGGAACGACCTGCCCCCCCCCCTATGTCAAATTGTCGCCTACCTTTCAAACTGTTTGAGTCCCGCCTAAAGACCCACCTCTTTCCCCTCACTTTCGAGTCAGTCTGAGCTATGTTTTATCGATTTTTAAGCTTTTATTGTCTGTCCATAGCCTTTGTGTACCTTGTATTAATTCTTATGTATGCCTTTTATCTATTATTGTAATATTATATTTTATTATAATGTTATGTTTGCTGTGAAGCACTTCGGTAAACCCTCTGTTTTTAATGTGCTATAGAAATAAAGTGGATTTGATTGGACATGACATTGTTTAAATGGTCACAAAGCGTACTTTTTTTTTCTTTTGCATTCATCCTTGCATTTAGCTTCAAAGCCATATGTCAAGTTGTTAATGCTGCTTTAGATTAAATGTGTTCTGTCTGTATTCCTATTGTTTTAATCTTTGCTGTCCTTTTTATCGTTGTTACATCTTAATTTTCTCAGCCCTCAGGTTTTGATCGCTGATTGTTTTACTTCCCTCCTCTCACAGACGTGGTCACTTCTCACTGTCGGAGTAGTTGCTTCTCTAACGGCGGCGACCTCGGCCATTGGTCTGTTGGTCTCCATGGTGAGGACCATCCTTCACGATGGGCGGAGCCTCCTGACTTACTGCCGCTTCCCCGACGCTATTGGCTACTCCAGCATCACCAACGAGTGTCCTTTTGACCCCACGCGCATCTACGTGAGTGTGTGACAGATGCTATATGCAAAATAACTAGAGTGTAGTTTTGGTAAGGACAATTTCATGCTCCACCAACAATGCATATATACGTCATTTTCTGCTATTAGTATGAAGTTTTGGTTACTTCATTTATTACTTTTTATGTGAAAAAGCCTGTGTTTGTATCCGTAATAATCCCAAGGTTATATGTGCTTTATTTAGTCAGCTTATCCAAAGTAAGCTTCTGTTGCCATTTCATATATAATATACTTAGGACATAACATTTATAAAAACAGTGCAAAAAATAAATAAAACGTATACAAAATATATAAAAGAAAGAAGGATATAATACTAATTAAATATGGAAAATATATTGTGTGTGTGTGTGTGTGTGTGTGTGTGTGTGTGTGTGTGTGTGTGTGTGTGTGTGTGTGTGTGTGTGTGTGTGTGTGTGTGTGTGTGTGCTCCTGTGTCACTCACTCACTCACTCACTCACTCACTCACTCACTCACTCACTCACTCACTCAGTCCATCACATTGGGGCAGAAAGCTGACCCTGTCTCTCCGGTGCCACAGACGGACTGTCAGGCCCGCTCAGACTCAGCAGCTGCACACACACATCTGCAACACTCAGGCATTTCATCACGGCCAGTGGTCTGCAGTTTATGAGGTGACCTTTGTCTTAAGGAGGTCAATGCTAGTTCTGCCCCAGTAGCTTTTAAATTATAGTTCAGCGTCTGCCATTAGTAGCACAAACACAGCATTAGACAGATGCATAACACAGACAGTATTTGTTTTCTAATAGGAGACAGCTGCCGGGCAATCTGTGTGTTTGCAGCATCACAAGACGTTCGTATTAACCACAGATAAATACAAGTGTATTCAAGCTGGAAATAGGGTGGTACGATTTCATATTGTGGATTTAACCTGACAATCTTTTAATTAACCAAATAGTCCTGAAGCCAAAGCAAATATGGTTATGATGTAAGACTCTTCGTGCTGACGGTAGTGGGGTAGAGAGAACCAGCACATTAGCTTAGATTTATCTATTTGTCCACCTTAAAGAAAGGCCAACCTTAAATAATCAGTTTTAAGGGAAAGCTCTTTTAACAATATTATATACGCTATACCTTGCTTGACATATCGACCTGACGTGGAACTGAAACCGTCATCCACGCTCTGTTCAAAGACACTTTTGGGGTTTAAGAGGTTTGTTCAGATTCGCCAAATCCCAATCCTCACTTCAAAAAGAGAGGTAGTGAGAAAATCAGACGTGCTTTAAAACAAACTTAAACCAAACTAATTTGGCAGAGGAACTAGCGTCCAAATAGTCTTTTCAGTATTCCTGTAATTAGATGTTTTTGTTATCATTTTGGGAGTGCTCTCTTTCGTTGGACCTCGCATTTAATGGTTAAAAATGAAGACCTAATATAATAATAAACCAGTTATCCTTTACCCAGAAACTTGCTATCAGTACAGAAGTTACTTCCTTTGTTGTTGTCTTCTGAGACTGCAGTGTAGCTGTTCCCTCCCAGTTTCCCATTAGCAGAGGACCCTCCAACATGGCTCCCAGCGGCCCGGTTACATCGCCTGAAAATATGTTTTGGGCTTCTGGTTCTGATACTCATGGCTGCTCAGAGGCACTAACGATGCTTCTGCAAGGTTGTTTTTCTTTAGTGCTTCCTGCATATTGTATTCTGGATACCAAAGAAAGCTCCAAACTTTCAAACTATAATCATTAATTCTCTTTTGCGGTCTGCAAACCAACCCACCTCACAAATGGCCACTGGCAATTCCCTCTGAACACTTTGCAGAGGAGAGTGCAGAAAGTTTCAAAGTCCCAGACACACTGCTCTGTTTTTGCTTCACAGCCGCCTGAGGAAAAATATCGTTCTTCATCGGATCATTACCCTCACTGTATCCTGCTGCTTGCACCTCTTTAGGTCCAGCTGGTGTCTGCAGCTCACCCCACTCCTCTGTCTCTCTGCAGAGCACCACTCTGATCCTCTGGGTGCCTCTCATCGTGACTTGTGTGATCCAGATGGTGTTTTCGGCCCGCTGCTCTGCTGTCTGCGTCTCATTCCTGGGTTTACCTTGCTGCCCCAACAGGAAGAGGAAGAGAGACTTTGGCAGATCGGTGAGATTTCTGCTCAAACACACACACTGTGCTGCTGAGTCTCGTGTTAAGAAAAGTTACTTCGATGTAAGTTGAGGACAAACATGTCTTCTGGGAATTAGAATTATGTATTACCCCCATCGTGGCACATCTTTAAAAAATCACATTTTAAGTGTTGACTCAACATGGTATAATACAATTCATGATGCTATAATGGTCATCGGGTGAACGTGATTTTGTTTTTGGTTTGTTCAACTCTACCAAAAACTCCCAATAAATAATGTAGTATATTTCAAGACAGCCAACATTAACACTACAAAGTCAAGAAACTTCCCTGGTGTGAGGTGCAAGGGTTAAGAATGGTTTTCAATAGAGCAGTTTGGTTTAAGAAAAAAGGGTTTCTGTGTTTGTGTAGATAAATGTGGTGAGGCCAATTGAGGAAGCTGCTCCCCCTAGCCACGCTGAAGCTCCAAGGAACTACGCTGAACCTCCGAGAAGCCACACAGAATCTACAAGAAGCTATGATGAACCTCCAAGGAGCTACACTGAGTCTCAGAGAAGTTACGCTGAGTCTCAGAGAAGTTACGCTGAATCCTCAAGGAGCTGCCCTGAACCTCAGAGGCAGCAGCTCAGACCTCCTCCTCTTCCTCATCATCTTCCCAAACATCATCAGAGTCTTCCTCCCTCAGAGAGACGTCCTCTTCGCTCGCAGCACAAGAAAAGGTCCGACAGAGAGAGGCAGGAAACCAGAGCAGGCAGCGAGCAAAATCCACCGGAGCAGCACCAACTTCTGGAGAGAGGGACCATGGAGAGGTCCAGCTTCTGGATTTAGACGATTTGAACATACGTTCAGACCAAATGCATCAAACTCAGAACTTCAAAACTATGAACTCAAAGCTGGAGAAGTTTTTATTTAGCAGTGTGGATGTCTGAAGCTCAGGGTCAGGGTCCCGGTTTTGTAAATATAACTGTTCTTGTATTTCAAGAGTGAGAATCTATTCATATCGGGACAGACAGAGGAGGACAATCCTTCAAAGTGAGGACATGGTGCCTGTAGAAGGATTCACTCGGAGTTGAAAGAGGAGTTTGACATTTTGGAGAATCTATTTTCTTGCCGAGAGGTAAATGAGAGGATTGATAGTCCTCTCGTTTCTATAGGACAGCTACACACACCTCTACAGCTCAACACATTTTCCATTTGATTAATTTGTTTTTGCACAGACGATTGGTATCGATCTTCTTGTCCAACCCTCTGGAAGTAATCGTTAAAGTAAATTTGCACATATAATGGAGGCAGGTACAGCACAATAGGAAACTGAAGTGTACAAAGTGCCTTCATTAATTTATCTGATTTAATTAAGGATGGAAATGCCTGTTTGACTTGATGAGAATGCTAGTGTTTGCATTCGTATTTTTCTGATGTTAGATCAAGAGATACCACGAATGCACGTTTTTATATTTATTGTACTCGACAAGTAAATAAAGTTTTTATTCATAATTCTGTATCTGTCGTGAACTCTGTGACAGGAGACCTTTCACTGTAATGGCAGTGGCCTGACAGGAATGACTGGTCACACACACACACACACACACGTAGACACCCTGACAGACGGGTGCTAACCCATCTACCCACTTCCTGTCAGGGGTTTCTTAATAAGGACCTTCGCTGTACCTTCACAGGGAGATGCATGACAGTAATGTTCAGCTGTCAGACCACACATTACTCTTATCTTGAGACACAGGCTAGAGAGATGCTATGAAACAAGTGATACCGTTTATTTAGCTGATGCTGTTATCCAAAGCCATTTATAGCAGGGAGGCTGTGGCGCTGAGACACTACATACTGACATACACCTGAACATCAGCAGGAGAGGACTCTTTAAAGTAGAGACACTACATACTGATATACACCTGAACATCAGCAGGAGAGGACTCTTTAAAGTAGAGACACTATATACACCTGAAAATGAACAGAGAAGATTCTCTTTAATTGAGTTATATTTGCAATATTCTCATCACCTTAATATGACGTCAGTATCATTATGCTCGTCTCCAAAGAACAGGACTCAAACGGTAATTTTACCTCCAAGAAGACGGAAGCTACAATTCTAAACATATTGACCTTGTAGTTTGGCTTTTTTAGGGTGGCTCAAATACAGTTTTTCAAAGCAGTAATTTGCTTAGCTTCCTTGCTAGTACTCCTGTCTGTTTCTTCAACCTGACTTTGGATACCTCATACATGTATAACCCCACTTTAACAAAACAGAAATCTTCCTTTAAGCCATCCCTTACAATACCCAGAAATAAGGAAACAGTCAACACGAGCAGCTTTGAAACACATAGGTATATTTCAGGTCCAACTGAATAAACATGACATCCTCACGTGAGGTTTTCATGCAACAGAAAAATTGGAAGGAAATTAAGGGAGGTTAGGAAGGAAGAAGGGAAGAAAGAAAGAAAGAAAGAAAGGGGTTGCATTTATCCAACATAAGGTACCAGTTCATCAGAGGCAGTGAGAATAGAAAAGGGTTAAGCTGTAGTTTAGATCAGGGGGTAGCAACTGTTGTTCCTTATCCTACCAGCAGAAGGCAGTGACAGGATCCCCAAAAGCAGAGGTTAGGAAGCTCCTGTGCAAATGGTTCAAGTTACACTCCCATCCTAAAGTCAGGTGCATGCAGCTCTCATCTGCAGCAGGAATTCAATTTGTGAGGTAGTGAAATGTTGGGCAACACACATTTAGAAACGGACTCTTGCCAGTTCAGTCTGGTTTAAATCTTCTTTTTATCTCACATGGCAGACAGAGAAATCATTATGCTGGGCTTTATATTTTTTAAAGTCAGTGAAGCCTGTCCGAAGCACTTAGATAGAAATACTCAACCACCTTAAATAACTGCATTAGTCTGGTTTCAGTGAAGCCTTTCAGTGATTTCAAAAGGACATTTTAACAAAAGAATCAAATGATGAGAAAAGTACTGAAGCACTTAAAGTTGGAGTTAAATTTGACTTGTTTTGTAGTTTCATACATAACACTGTCATAGTTAGATATTAATATGTCATGTCACGGTTGTCCTGGCCAAAAATAATTCAGATTTTATCCCGATTATAATTAATATATGCTTAAAATGGCACTAAAACTTTAAAACTGAATGTTGTAAAGACAGAAACGATTTAATTGCATCACAGATAGGAAACAACTGCAAACACAATCACATTTAAACAAAGGAATCATAAATCATAAGGTCCATCTGCAAAACAATATTAAAAACATTGTGAGTCTTTCTTATTTAATTCGTGTCAGGCTCTTCCCTACAATAATAACGATACATTAACAATAACTGATAAAGTCTTACTTAAATCTAAAATTAAATCAATCTGAAAAATTAACTCCAGTTGTAAATATGTGTAGGCTATATCAATATGTATGTTAATATTTCGCTCTAAAATGCATTGGAATAGAAGATTAAAGTAGTAAAATGTGAAAATACTCCAGTAAAGTATGTTAGTATTGCACTTAAATCCAGTAAACGAGTATATGATTTCATCACTTCTTAATCTCAAAAACACTTATATATTGTATACATTTATCTATCAGCCTCTTAAAGTAAAGAACCTGAAGGTCCCTTTAACAGAATGATGCATTGTACAGCGTGTTCTCAGTCTGCCCAACATTTAGCTTCTTCACAAACAGAATATGTTAAACTTCTAAAACAATGGAGGCCTTAAATCGCTCCACTCAATACATGGTGGTGCTGGAATACCGCAACCAGTGGATGTGTTTACAAAATGCACGGTACGTTTGAATCGTATTTTAAAACTGTAATATCACAGATTGAAGTCTTTTAATTTGAATTGGAGAGACCAAATTGACAGGCTGTTCTCATACGCACTTATAGGCTACTTCATATATCCTATGCAATGAGTTTGTACCGTGTACAAGTTGGTCTAAAAACATCGGACTTACACCTATAGGGGACCACTCTTTCCGTAAATAATTTAACCAAACCCACGCTCTTTTCCTAAACCTCATCAAGTCGTTGTGTTTCCTAAACCAAGTTGTTTCCAGCCAGACGGAAGTTTATTCAGGTCAGCAATTATAACGTTTTGGTTGATATTCACATGCAAACACACCCCTTTTCCAGCAAAGCCGTTCCAGCGCCGGTTCGGAGCTCATGCCCGATTGTAGGAATAATTGTTGTTGTTGTAAACGGCGTTGCTGAGAAAATCTGTGACGTAGATGGTGACTTCATTACGTAGAATCAAACTAGAATCAAACAGACGTTCAGTGGAAAAGGGGTGATAGGAACCATGAGGATACGTTGCAGGTGTATTTTGATGTGATGTCTCGACAAGTTCCAGTTTCTTGGTGCTCCAAACAGTAAGTAAGTAAGTAAAGCTTGTATATCAGTGCTAATGTGAACACAGCCACTGATTTCTGTCTGCTAACCACAAAGAAGTACCTGGTGAAACATGTCCCTTCATCTAATTGCTCTGTAAGCAGACTAATCTTCCAGGAGGTTATAAAAGCATTCAGCTGGAGAGTGATGAACGAGCCCTTAGTGAGTTCTCTGTCTGTCAGAGGGAGAGGAAAAAGCGTGGAGGAGGAAGGCAGGGTTTGTCCCAAAGCAAGACAAATACTCAATAATTTCTGCCTGGTACAGTGCTGAGCAGGCTGCAGCAGCGCTACAAAAAGATACTGCTGTGCGTTAACTTTTTTTGTGGTTTTTATCAGTTCATAGGATCATGCAGTATAGTGTGACAGGTTAACGACTATCTTAAGTTTACTGCTTGTGTTAAAGAATACTTATTAGAAACAACACAACGTGATAATACTGTAAAGCCTCATTGCATGTCCACGTGCACACATTCAGACACAGCCTTACTTCATAACCACATGGAGGCTGAGACGATATGTGCCACAGGTGATTGATCAAATGCATTATGGAGTGTTTTATATTCTTCACAGTTAACACACCCACAAAGCACACCCATCTGAGCTCTCTCTCTGTCACTGTAAACTGGAACATATCAAAGTACAATAATAATAATAATAATAATAATACAAATGAATAAATAAAACGAAATGACGGAGGAAAAACAATATGTACAAACTATTTAAAAATGCCAGTAGATATCGATAATAATAAAAAGCTAATGGGATCTTAGGCCTTCTTTTTCTCAGCGAAAGATCATATAGCAGTAAAATCCCAATAAACCCCCACCCCGACCCCCCCATTCAGATCACACCAGGAATTTACGCTACATAATACTGCTTCAATGCCATAGAGTGCACCATACACTTCATTTGGTGATAGACGTACAGTATATACATGATGTACATGTGTGTTGGAGGAGCGATCCCCCACTCTGCGAAAAAATCCACACAAAGCTCTCCTGGAAATCCGACAGATATTCGGGAACATTTCTGCACGCTCATTAAACATATCCATGTCCATTCAGCTTTCCCAAATATACAAAAATGATGATGTCAAATAATAGTGATGGCTTTTTCTTATCCTCCTCAAAATCCCTCCTCCATTCTTGCACACAACGAAAAAAAATGATATGAGAGACGAGAACCATCATGCATTGATTTGAGTGTTTCAATAGCAACAGAGGGTGAGGAGGAAAAAGGGTCTCAGCAGGGCGGGGCGGGGGGGGGTGTTCAGAACTGGGAGGCCGAGCTGGGGTCGCACTGGAGTAGCCGCACGATGGAGGGGTCGCTTTTGGCACCTTTGATAAACTCCTCCAGGGACAGTTTGCCTGCAGGGGGGACGGAGAAAAAGGGAAATGAGGGGGGACAAAGTCAATATTTTGGAGGAACCACAACAGCCCCTGTTAGACCACCACACAAAAGACTGTTACAACCTTATGTAAGATCCCTGCTATGTGCATTAGACACTATTTGCATTCTACTTTTGCTGCTTATTCACGCAATAGTGCACTAATCTCATTAAACGCCTCCATTGGACTCCTTTGTTCACTTCTGTAACTCATGTTTCTATTGGCTAGCACATTGTACGTGATAGGCAGAGGGGGAAGTAGTGCAGTACAAATACTTTGTTACTGTACATTCTTCTGGTATTAGTATTTTACTCAACTTCTTATTTTTCTGACGACTTTTTACTTTGACTTCTTACATTTTGAACCCAAATACCTGTACTTTCTACTTCTTACATGTTGAACACAAATACTTTCTGACGACTTTTTACTTTGACTTCTTACATTTTGAACCCAAATACCTGTACTTTCTACTTCTTACATGTTGAACACAAATACCTGTACTTTCTGCTTCTTACATGTTGAACACAAATACCTGTACTTTCTACTTCTTACATGTTGAACTCAAATACCTGTACTTTCTACTTCTTGCATTTCTAACCCAAATACCTGTACTTTCTACTTCTTACACGTTGAACACAAATACCTGTACTTTCTGCTTCTTACATGTTGAACACAAATACCTGTACTTT